GATGCTGATTGCAGTCCAGTAACCAGCAGACGACACTCTACGACAAAAAGGCATGGTAAATAAAAAGCGCAAACAAATTCCTCAGCTGCTTCCACGTCACAAAGTGAATCGTTTAAGGTTTGGTCGTGAATAGCAAACATGAGATATTGAGAAGTGGAAGTCCTGTTTTCTGATGAGAAAAAATTCAATCTATATGGTCCTGATGGTTTCCAACGATATTGGCATAACAAAAACATGCCTCCTGAAATTTTCTCCACACGTCATAATGGTGGAAGGTCCCTAATGGTATGGGGTGCCTTTTCTTACAGAGGGACGATGGAGCTCCAGGTCGTGCAGGGTCGTCAGACAGCGGCTGGTTATGTTAGCATGCTACAAAAAGCATCGTTGGTGACGGAGGGCCAACGTTTGTGTAGGAATGGATGGTTATCCCAACAGGATAATGCTGAAATCCACGCTGCATGCCGGACCTTGACCGTTCTACAAGAAAATGGTGTCCATCTCTTGAGACATCCTGCATGCTCACCGGACTTGAGCCCAATTGAAAATGTTTGGGGATGGATGGCAAGAGATATTTATCGAAATGGCAAACAATATTCAACAAAAAATGAACTCCGTGAAGCTATCTTCAGAAGCTGGACCCATATTCCTCGCAGCTCAATGGAAACACCAATTTCTAGCAAGCCCCAAAGAATTTTTGAAGTCATCAAAACCAGTGGAGGTAGAACTCATTATTAAAGTTGGTTGTTGAATGTTTTCGTACAATTTCGTAGAATTTTTGTCTCTGGTCTTATAATTTTGATTAAGTGTAAAACGCCTCATTTTATAAAAATGTCAATTTCTCAATAAAATGTCCGGATTTTTTGTCTACATAACCTTTTAGATTATAAAATTAGTAAACTTAAGTGAGAAATGTTTAAAATGCTTCCATGAAAAACAGTCTTTTTAAAAAATATTTCAAGTGGTCTTAAATTTTTGATCAGGAGTGTGCATATATATATATATATATATATATATATATATATATATATATATATATATATATATAATCACCATTTGAATTTATTATCCTTTTTTTTTTAATTATTAATTATCCATTTTATGGTCGATGAGGTTGGAATGGTCTTCATTCCATGATCTTTGAGTTTGACAGTTCAGTAAGTTTTTTAGTTTTCTAATATATGCAAGGGAAGTAACTCTTATTTCATACCATCTAATTAGCTCCCTTCGTAACACAAGAATAAAGAAACGAATTTGAAAGAAGGCTTAAAATTTGACATTTTTATTATTCATATTTTTCTTTTCATACCTCCTTAGTTGTGTAGTTACTGTCATTATCTGAATATTTTGGACTAACTTTTTCTTCTATTAAAAAAATCTCAGGAATTCAATTCTAAGTAGATACTAGATGAAGATATAAGTAATTTCCTGGTCTGCAGATATACATATGCCACCAATTTGTGGCATGCCACTAGCGTTTACCGCTAGTAGTCCGCTGTCGGACCGCTGACGTGTTCGTCTCGGCAATGTTACCACTTGCGGACTGTTAGTTGCCCAGTGCTTGCCACCAGAGGACCGCTGGCGTTGTCCTCGGCGTCCCTCCAGCGGGCCACTAGCGGCTTGCGTGTAGGTAGGGAAGCCACTGTCGGAATCCTTATTGTCAAACTTACAGTCAGCTTTTGTTTACTATTCATTAGTAACGGCCTTAGTAGTATTAGTATTAGTATTAGTACTGGTAGCAGCAGCAGTAGTATTAGTAGTAATAGTTAAATTGTCAGGTATTTTGAGGTTAAATGATTTCATTGTACGATTTTTTTACTTTTATATAATTTTGTTGATTTTTATGTCTTTTATTTTATTTTATTTATTTATTTATTTGCAGGTAAATTATTCAGGTTTCAAATGACAGGGATTAGAAAAAAAACTGGTAGTTTTGAACCAGATTTAAAACTGTATGCAATGACATGGGAGCTTGCTATGTCATGTAGCAACACTTACATCACATTAGTAAAAAATAAATAAATGACCGCTCAAAAAGGGTATTTTTTTCTTTATTTTCTTGTTTTTAATGTCTTTTCTCTGACGTTGTAGTAAAAATAGAACTCCATATATTCGGATAGATTGGGATTAGTGATTTCTATTCTTTAACGCATAAAAAAGAGATACTATCAAAACAATGCTTCCCAGTCTAATGTAGTACAGACAATTGCTGCTACGCTTTCAGAGCAGTAACTTTAATGAGATGACTGCATTCACGCACAAGAGAAGTACTTCGAAGTAGAAGGTCGATACTAAACTTTGTGGTCCTTTTTTTTATATATTTTTTATTGCTTTGTATCACTGTTCTCTTTTTCCCCTTTTTTTTAACACATTTTGTTATTATTCATTATTTTTGGCAGATACATTATTCATTTTCTAAATTGCAATAATACAGAAAAATGTTTGGAAAATAATTTAGGAAATGCTCAGTTCATGTTATGGGAACTTGCTATGTCATGTAGTGTTATGGGAACTTACCCATAATAATAATGGACTATTCCTGACATTATAAATACTGCGCCTCTCAAGAGGTATGAGGAGATTGTAAGACGAGGAGAGATAATTGAGAGCATATTGTAAGGACATTGGAATAGTGATACTTGTCGAGACAACATAGTTCACTCTAACCAAATCTGATAGTCATTACTAATACTTCTACTTCTTTGTATTATATTTCTGTTGTAATATATCTTTGTATTCCATACCTGTGTTCGTGTTATTCTTTCATTGGTTCTAACCTTGGACCATCACCGTGGTACAAGGAACTTGAACCATAACATGTAGCAAAGTCTATACACCTTTAGTTTTAGAAGACCAGTCAAGTTTTCATTGTTTCTTCCTATTAGTATCATTTTATTGATGCTCTGGTCGGAGATTTATCTTTCAAGTTGTCTACAGTTCTGAAACAAAGGATTTTATTACTTAATTCATTTTTACTAGAAACATTATATTTCAATAAACATATTTAATACTAAATTTCACCCATTACAAGGCTAAAGGACACAAATTAAAATAGTGATTGGAAATTAAAATTATGAGGATAAGGAAGAAAGATCATGACTTACCATCTGCTGTTAACTGGTGCACGTAATGACTTGTTCATTTTAACGCCTCTTAAACGAAACTTCTCTCTATTTAATCATCTGAGAAACCCCTTGCTCCCTATTAGCAACATGGTTAATGCTAACTTTCAGGAGAATGACCCGTTACGCCTTCTCGGGCTAACATTCTTGGCTGGCATGAAGTGGAAAGATTATATTGAATCAATTTCTAGGTCTGCTGCTAGGAAAGTGGGTTCACTGTGTCGTGCTAGACAATTATTCGCGCCAGAATCTATCTTACATATTTATAAGTCATTCGTGCATGCTTTGAATACTGCTGCCACATATGGTCTGTTGCCCCTGCTGTCTAATTAGAGATTCTTTATAAAATCCAAAAACGAATCATCAGTATTACTGGTCCTGACCTGGCGTCTCGGATTCAGTCACTTTCACATCGTCGTAATGTAGCTTCTCAGTGCCTTTTCTATAAATACTTTCATGATAATTGTTTGGATGAACTCTTCGCTATGGTACTCAGATTTTATGAATGTGTTTCTAGCAGTACTAGATTGGCAATAAGGTCTCATCAATTTACAGTTGAAATGGATCGATGTAACCGTAAGTTCTATGCTAACAGTTTCTTCTTTCGCTTGTGGATTTCACTACCGGCCTTTGCTTTCCAGCCAACTTTGATCTTCAAAAATTAAATGCAATGTTAATCGTTATCTGCTGTCTTCTTGATTACTCTTCTTCTATTGCTCTCGATCCTTAATAATGTTTTTCTTTTTTATTGATAACGAATAACACTTGACTTGAGTAGTTCACGATTGAAGTGTTCATAAAAAAAACTCACTCTTTTCCACAAAGTGGCAGTTCTTGAAAAAAAAAAAGACCTGAGTGAAACTTTCTTTTTACATATAAGACAAGGAGATTATGGGAGTGATTCAACTGTGGAAATGGCATAGAGTGTTCTAGCTGTAAAGGTTTGAACTGGAAGAAGTAAAAAAGGAACTCATCGGAACATTTTCTGCTCAGGTATATTTTTCACTTTACATCATAAATGTAAATCGTCATAATTTTCCACTAAAGTTTTATAGAAAACTGGATACATTAACAAATAATAAACAAAAGGAATCTGTATTTTAGATTTTACGAGCAGCATGGCCCGGCGTTGCCCGTGCTTGATTCAAAAATCGTAGGATTTATACAGCAATCGCTATCGCTTAACTTAAAATATGTTTGCGTTTCCTTGCGTTTAAAACAGTGCCCTTTTCCGTGATGATGCTGCTACATGCCTTACTTCTTGCCTATCTCACACTACAAATTTTTTCCAAGCTCTATACTAAACATTAAATCTGTTACGAAAAAAGAACTAAACAAAATAAACACAAAACGATCAGCTTTAAAAAAAGGACTCGTAACTGGAAAAACCGAATGAAAAAAGAATGTTAACAGCAAATACTTTTTCACACCAACCCAGTTCTGAGGAATCAGAATCAACGTTGAGTTTAAGCAAGCGAATGAGCCAATTGGAGTAAAATGTCATGCAGAGTTAAATTTTTCTCACTTGCTAGTTAACATTCGTGTCGGTCAGCTGTTGGCTCTCACGCTGGCCAATAGAATCTTCCTGCCTATTCGTGGCAGCCAGCTATTGGCTCTCACTCTGACCAGTAGAAAATGACCGCAAACTACATGAAAACTGCCGTAGAAGCATGCAAAAATTGATTATTTCCACTATCGATGAGGGTTGGAAAATGCAAAGTCGGTGTTGGCCTTCCCGCTAACTTGGAGCATGTGCATATAAATTCTGGTGCAAATCCGTCGAAAATTGCGGCCGTGCATTCGTTACACACACACACGCACACTCATCCTGCCTTTTATAGATAGAGATAACTAATCGGATAAGCACAGTTCAGTGGATACATGGAGGAACAACACCTTATAAAGTAAGAGAGAGGGAAAAATTAAGGACAGCTATAAAATAAAATTCAAGAATGTGCGTAGTTTGATGAATAGAAGGTGGGAAATCATTTTGGTAGACATACCTTACTATATATAATGCTTAAGAATTATTAAAGATAGTATATGTCTGGACAACCGGAAGTCAAAATGGTTGCAACTGAAAAAAAGAGGAAAAAAAGAAAAAGTGAGAAAAAGAAAAATTAAGGAGTAAGCGTAAAAAGAAAAAAAAAAAAGAAAGAAAATGACGAAAAGAGCCATGATCAACTACATCTTGAAAAAAGGTTGTATTTAAAAAAAAATTAAATATAAAATTTTGATTATTCTCAAGTGTCGCTTTGATTTGATTGCTATCAGCCTCAACTAGTCTATTCGACTGTAGAGTATCGGTCAGCGAGAAACCTCCAGCAAATCAATTTGGACATGTTAAATTATTCGAATGCCATACATTAGCTGAATAATTATTTTGGCACTTGGTAATAAAAAGCATTTTATAAAGTGTTGCTTATTTTTATATATCTTCAATATTAGAGTCAATGAAAATTGCGCCAGTTAAAAAAAAAAAAAAAAAAAAAACGCACACTGTAATTCAATCAAAAAGGATCGTTTTTTATAATATAGTTTAGATACGTTCACTGAATTTTAGATACCTAAGATTTAAAATTATTTTTTTAAAATGAAAAAGCATTCTTGAAGATTTCATTTCAGCTTTGACTGAAAGCTAAATGATTAAATTTACTATTTCCAGTAAGTAAAATATTCTGGTGTATTTCAAATAAAAATTATATAGATCGGAATCTCAACTTTTTAGCCGATTTCAGAAAATTTTCTTAAAAGCGGACATTTTCTTAATTTTAAGAAATTTATAAACAAAAAAAAATTATCCGTTTTAAAAATATTCCAGAAAAAAAATATTTGAGACGTTATTTGAGTAAAAATAGCAAATTTAATTACGTCGGCCGCCGACGTAAACAAAACAAGATTTTTAACCAAAACTTCGAACGTATGAAAGAATTAAAAAATTTCTATGGTGAACATTATGTCTCCCTACATCCCCGCCTATTGTTAATGAAAATTGCTGCGCCAGTTTAAAAAAAAAAAAAAAACCGCACACTGTAATTCAATCAAAAGGATCGTTTTTATAATATAGTTTAGGTACGTTCACTGAATTTTCGATACCTAAGATTTAAAATTAATTTTTAAAAATGAAAAAGAATTCTTGAAGATTTCATTTCAGCTTTGACTGAAAGCTAAATGATTAAATTTACTATTTCCATTAAGTAAAATATTCTGGTATATTTCAAATAGAAATTATATATTCCCAAACTTCATGAATTCAAGCGCCCTACGAGGCTGGCATCCTGCTCCCACCCTTTCACTGTAGAAACTTTTAAATGTAGCCGTCTCTTCTACTCCAATAGCTACATACCTCGCACCTCTCGCCTGTGGAATACCCTTCCCAATTACTGTTTCCCTGAGAGCTATAATCTCCAACTATTCAAATGTAATGTCAATCGACATCTCCAGTTACCTTGATCTATCCTCTATCCCTCCTCATCCTTTCTTCTATCACTCCTATCTGCTCTCGCTCCAAATCTTCTGCAACCCTCTGCATCCTAGTGGCTTCACGCCTTGCTCGGGGCGTAATGCTTAAAAAAAAAAAAAGTATATATATATATAGATCGGAATCTCAACTTTTTAGCCGATTTCAGAAAATTTTCTTAAAAGCGGACATTTTCTTAATTTTAAGAAATTTGTAAACAAAAAAAAATTATCGGTTTTAAAAATCTTCAAATTAAAAAAAAAACTATATTTTAGACGTTATTATTTGAGTAAAATTAGCAAATTTAATTACGTCGGCCGCTGACGTAAAAAAAAAAACAAGATTTTTAACCAAAATTTCGAACGTAAGAAAGGATTAAAAAAATTTCTGTGTTGAACATTATGTCTCCCCACCCCGCCTATCCTCAAAAATGGACTGCCCTTTTTATAAACAATTTTGTTGTACTAACTATTCTATTGTGCAGAATAAAGCCTAATTTGGGTTACTCTGTTCCCTGTCTTTCATTACAATTTCAAAAACTAATAAAAAAAATACTTTGGTCTTTTCCACTTACATAAACATCTTGATGACAAAACTTTGTTTTTATTGAGTTTGGGGCCCTTTTTATCATGCTATGCTGTTTATACGTGAAAAAGTGAAGGTGCGTATTATAGTTGAAACTGAAAATCACTAATGCCATTTAACGATAAAACCCGATATTACTATTTGGCCAGTAGCTTAATAATCACAGCTATAGTAACGATTCACTATAAACATTTACTCAGCTAATTTAATTTAGTAAGGAGCTTTAATAGTCTGTTCATTAGCAAGGATCGATCTAACGAACGGTTTGTGATTAGTTTGTTATCAATACGTTTAGTGTAGAAGCCCAATACCTCAGCTGATACCCCTCAACGCTTCTTACTGTTTTAAACTGACATGTCAAATAAGCGGTGAGAATCGCGTCTGATGTCGTTAAGTTAGAAAAATAAAAGAAATCTTTAAATATCCTTGTCCAAACTTGTAAGACGCAAGTCAAAGGGTGTGGCTCTTAATTATGTCTCTTTAACAGGCGCCTGCTGGATAAATCATTAGACGAGAGTTCACAGGGTCTATGGTTCAATAATCTGGTAATAAATTGGTTATTAACCTAGAAGTAAATACGCCTTACTTCAAAAGCCGGACGCTTTTAAATAGAAAGACAATTAAAAACAAGTGCTTTCTTAGATTTAAGGAATTTGCTTTTCTTTTCTTCTATTCCTTTTGTCTTTCACACTTCTTTTCTCTTTCTTTCTTTCTTTCTTTCTTTCTTTCTTTCTTTCTTCATATACTTTTTCTTTCTTTATCTTTTCTAATTCTTCTATCTTTTATTTTCTTTCTTTTACTTTATTGTCTTCTTTCATTCATTCATTTTTTTCTTATCTCCTTTCTTCATTTATTTATTTCTTTCTTCAACTTCTTTCTTTCTTTCTTTTTTTCATACATTCTTTTCGTATCTTTTTTCTTTCTGTCTATCTTTCTTTTTTTTCTTTCTTACACCATTATTGTTCTTTTTCCTTTTTTCTTTATTCCGCCTTTTTTGTTTCTTTTTTTCATCATCTCTATCGTCTTTCCTCAATTTCTTCTTGTCCTTTCAATCTTCTCTTTTATTTATTTTCTTTCTTTTTTCTTTTCGTTTCTCCTTTGCTGTTTTTCTTTCCCGTATTTATTAATTCATCCCTTTCTTTTCTTTCTTTCTTTTTTTCTATTTCTTCTTTTCTCTCTCTCTCTCTCTCTCTCTCTCTCTCTCTTGCGCTATTCCCTCTCTTTTATTTTCACCTTTCATCTCTATCCCTTGTCTATCTTTCTTTCTTATCATCTGATGACAAGAAAATCCCTTTGGCGGCACTTATTTATACCACCGTCCCCCACCCCATCTAATTTACCAATTTGACCCACAGGGCGAAAGACAACAAGACATCGTCTAACGCCCACACGTGATCTTTCCAAAATTCACAATTTACAATGTCGGGACCGATGGCATTTGCTTGTGATGGCGACGATTTTCTTTTTACTGTCATTTGGAAATTGAATCCAAAAAACAATAGCGGGGGACGCGAGATAACATTCCTTTCTTTTTACCGACTTTTATAATGGTTGTGTTTGAGTTAATCAGATGTTTGCTTGAGCTTTTGTGTAATTCTGTGTGTATATGTGTATGTGTAATTATATCTGTATGTTTGTGTTCGTATATGTCTATACATAGTCTGTGTGAATGTTCTATGCATTCATACACATATATGCATATGTTTGGATATATATGTTAGTGTAACTTTTTCACATCTATACGTATACACATCCAGGTATGTGACAGGTACTATGGTCCATGTTTATATGTGCTTGTATATATGTGTACGAGACTACGTGTATATCCCTATGTGTGTAAGACTGCGAGTATAAGTGTTGTTTTGTATGGGGATTAATGTGAATTTCTATGAGCCTTTGCATGTGTGTACAGATGAATGAATATCTACGCATGTGCACGCCTGTCTATGTAGACTTTGTTCCATTTTCTCTCGATCTTAAAAAGCAAATAAAAACACATTTTTCTGAAAGTTTATCGCATTAACGGTAGACATCTTTGACAAGGTCTTGATAATGATCCAGATTGTTACCCGCTCTAAGATTCACTTTTGGTAAATCTTCTTCAACTATGACAGATCTCTTTGTTTATGGCGTCATGTTCTTGTCTGCTCGCCTGAACTTTGCCCTTACCTTATTTTCAGTTCTAAAGAATTTACCTTTTCATATATTGCAAGAGAATCGCTAGTATAATGTCATGCCATCTGCTTGCATAGTTAAATCCAATTTTTCTGTATATTTATTTGTTAAAAAGATGAATGTTTTATTCATGTAAACTTATATATTTATAGATTACACAAAAGCATTTGACACGGTACGGCACAAGAGTCTATTTGAACAGCTAGGAAACTTCAGTCTAATTGGAAAAAATTAGAATCTAGATCTGATACTGGGAGCATACGGCCTGCATACGGATACAAAATGAATTGAGCAGTTAGACAAAAATAGAAAGGGGCGCAAGACAAGGGTACGTCTTTTCTCCAAATTAAATCCTACAGCGATGCTATCCCAAGGGAGTAGAAGACCCAACCAGGACTTATTATCGTGAGTTGTGATGCAATCTTAACAAATTAAGATGCGTAGATGACGCCATATTGATGACAGACACATATATAAAGCAATAGAATTTCCTAGACAAGGTAACAAAGTAAAGCGAGAAAAAAGGTTCAGCTATCAACTGTAAGAAGACAGAACGTATGGTTTTTTTGAGCAAGAGAACAAGCCAAAGATGTGAACTAGAAATTGGAGATGTTAGCATCAAACAATTACAGAAGTTTCAATATCTTGGAAGAGGATGGAAAACGCGACACCGAAATCCGAAGTAGGCATTAGACAAACGAAAGAGGCAGTCCAAAAGCTAAGAAAAACATTAAGAAACAAGCAAATTTCATTAGAAATATCGAAAAGAGTGCTAAATTGCTTTGATATTAATCCTCTTGCATAGCAGTGAATACTGGTCAATTTTACCACAGATGAAGAGGAAAACAGTGGCAATAGAAATATGGTTGTACAGAAGGATACTGAGAATTCCATGGATAGAGCGAGTATGGAAATAGGAAATCTTAAGGAAAATTGTGACAAAAAAGTAATATCAAAATTAGAAAGAGTCACCTGGAATTTCTTGGGCACATGAGGAAGGAGGGATTGGTAAAACTAACCCTCACAGGGCATATCGAGGGCAAGAGAAATAGGGAAAGGCAGCGATCCATCTGATAAGCTTGTGATGGCGGAACAAGAGGCCGGTGTCTTAGCTAGGGGAAAAACCCTGCCACGATTTATAGGAGGTTGTGGAGAGGCATGATCTCCTACGTCCTGAAAAAACACAGTACATAGAAAAAGTACTGAATATATTTCATTAATAAAAAAAAATATGTCAACAAAAACTGACGCGTGAAAACGATACATTAAATAATAGATGAAACTGATATAGAGCAAAAAACTTAATACATACATACAGTCACAACATTATCAAGAAAATTCGTTGATAATAGCTTATGAAAACTGAAAGTATTCAGATACTGGATAAGTTATATTTAAATTTGTCACCGAAAACCAGGAAAAATATAGAAAATTAAACAAAATATCCTTGATAAAGAACTTTCGTTACTTTTTAACCAGACTTATATAGACAAAAAACATGCTGCCCAAATACAACAATCATATTTATCTAATTTCATATATACATTTATAAGCATAAACATTACAGTTTTATCTGTCTATTCAAAGATGATATTTGTAAAGAGTAAAGTGCCTTCTGCGCATCCATAAGTGAGGTCGGATACAATTCCTTTTGTATATTTCTTGTATTGAATCAAAAATGCTTTTAAGACGGTTATTATTGAAGATATAATTGATCCGAATGACTGTATGAAATCCTTTTAACCCTTTCAGTCCTAACCACCGCTTTGCCGGTGGCAGAGAAAAATGATTTAACACTCATCCACCCGTTGAACAGTAGGTAAACACTTGTGTTGTGTTTTGCTATTGGTTGTCTTATTTGGGTAGGCAGTGACACAAAGAAAGAATTCTGGCGATAAAGTGAAGGCATGCAATCATACTCTCTCTCTCTCTCACTCGCTTTCTCTCTCTCTCTCTATCTATCTATCTATCTATCTATCTATCTCTAAGTATAATGCTTATATTTTTTGTAACTATTTTTATATCTACCATGAAACATTACATATAAATTATTTGCGAATTTTGCCTCAGGCAGAAGTGTTAATGATGTAAATTAAACAAAATAAGAAAAAGGTATACAAAAAGCTAAGGCCTCGGAGCACGTGGAAAGGGTCAAATTTACAAGGCCAACAAATTCTGCGCAAGATAACTATTGTGCTTGAACGGAGTCCTGATAGAATTTTATTTATTAATTTTATTTTATTTTAATTATTTTATTTTATTTTTTAATATTATCAGGTCATCCCATAAGTTCTGTCCGAATTTTGAATAAAGAAAACAAGTGACCAGATGTTACATTTAATTACAGATTCAATCAACAATGTATTTTCCCTGATTATCTATGACTTTCTTCCATCTATTAACAAGCTTACTACTTCCATTACTGTAAAATTCTTTTGGCTTTGATTCGAAGAACTCACAAATGTCAGTTTTAACCTCTTCCTGTGTTACAAAAGCTGTTTCTTCCAAATGATCCTGTAAGCTACGAAACAAATGGTAGTCTGAAGGATCAAGATCGGGAGAATAAGGTGGATGAGGAATTTTCTCCCAACCAATTTCTTCGATCTTTTCTGACGTAATTCTTGCTGTATGGGGTCGCACATTGTCCTGATGAAACATCACCTCTTTTCGATTCACGAGAGCAGGTCTTTTTTCCCTCAAAGCTTGGTTCAAACGCTCTAAATGCTGACAGTATATTTGAGCATTAATTGTTGCATTAGATGGTAAGAATTTAAAGTAGATTATTCCTTGGTGAGCCCACCAGATTGAAAGAAGGACCTTTTGCCCATGAAGTTCCCTTCACGGCTGTGGCTGGAGTCCTTCCCCTTTAGCAAGCCACTGTCTACGACGCTTAACATTTCGATAAAAGATCCATTTTTCGTCGCCAGTCACAAGTCTATCCAAAAAGGTGAAAAGTGTTGGCGAGAATGGAGAGAAGAGCAGATGTCAACTCGGGATTTGAGGTTGTTTTCAGACAATTCATGGGGCACCCATTTTCCAAGTTTAGGAACTTTTCCAAGTTGTTGAAGATGACGATGAACAGTTGTATGGTTTGAACTGAGAACCACTGCCAATTCCTCAACTAATAAAGCAGGATATTCTTCAAGGGCTGCTTCAAGAAGCTTTTCATCAAACTCAACTGGACGTCCGGCTCGATCTTCATCTTCAAGGGTGAAATCTCTACCTCTGAATTTTGCAAATCATCTTCTGCAAGTTCTGTCATTCACACATTCCTCTCCATAAACTGAGTGAATGTTTCTGAGTGAATGTCTGCTGAGTTTCCTTTCTTGAACTCATAAAGCATTATGTGCTTCAAATGATTCTTGGGTACTTCCATGTTAGCAGGGTTTTAATCAAACAAACTTTAATTTTATTGTTCTCTGAAATAAAATTTGATCAGTTTAAATGCATCTAAACATAAAAATAATGTTCAGCTCCATTAGACATTATAAAATACTCTTTAAATTTCGTTCATTTTAACAAAAAAAATTCGGACAGAACTTATGGGATGACCTGATTCTTATAGCGAGCTGGGAAGACTATGATGCGTTTTCTCATCGGATTCTAAAGTAATTTGATGACCTACCATGATTTATTATCAGCGGGACAGAACTTTAACAATATACGACGAAAATGGTAAATTGAGAATTGAGAAGTAAATCTAAAAATCTATTACATAAAGTAATTGATGAATTCAAAATAGAACTATGAAGATGACACGTTTGGTTTCGTGCAAAAGAAGGAACCTAAAGTGAGTTACACATCAGGGAAGCCAATATCAAACAAGTGAGAAAATTCAACAATCGGGAAATATAATCAGAGGAGACAGAATGTCTGACAGAAAAAGCTAAAGAAACATAAGAATAGCGAATTTTTTTTTTTAGGTATTAATGGATCAAAAGAGAAAATTGGAAACTAAGAAAAGAAATGATGGACTGCTATGAAGTTTCTACATTGCTACACCCCTTGCGCAAATTAATTGAAACAATCGCTTAGTTTAGTTTCTTTCATCATACGGTCAGTTTTAGACTCACTAAACTGACATGGTGCAATCGATTTCTAATTTTTCCTCAGATCAGGTCATTTGCAGTGGTGTGCAGTAATGTGAATCTATTTTCGGGTTCTATGATGAAATTTATTTGGCCTTGAAATATATTGTGTCATCGGTGATTGCATCAGATTTTTATCACGCTATTGTTTTGACTGTCGATTAGTTGTCCTACAGCCATTGACTGCGATGGACATTACTTCAAGGAAGCATACAAAAATTGTAACGTTGCACGAACACACTGGCAAAACATACCAGTGAGCAAATCAAGATATTATAGACTGGCCCGGAAACTCTCCTGACTTAAATCAAGTCTAAAATCTGTGGTCAATTTGCTTTGTGGAATGGACATACGCAGTACTAACATATGCACTGGGTCATGATTCATTGTAAAAATAGGAAAAAATAAATAATAACGGAATTTTGCTTTAGTTAATTTGCTCAAGTGTGTATATAGCAGTGAGTGCTGAACAATTTCGTTACAAATTAAATAAAACCTTGAAGCGACTTTGATGTGCGGTTCTCCAGACTATTACATGGACAGAGCAAGGAAACATTTTAAGGGGAGACAGAAGTAGGAGAAAAAACAGGAATTTTTTGAGACACCACAAAGAAAGAAATCTTGGAGAATTTAATGTCCGTAGGAAGCAGAAAGCAGCTAACAATTTATTTGTCACGTTCGAGCAAATGGATGGAATCACGTATCACAAACACAAAGATCGAATCATAAGAATATCAATGAGAGCAACAAGAGAGAGGATGCTGTAGAGATCCATATGCCATATCCCCTAGGTCCTGAAGCAAATGGCACAGAGAAAGACATAGATAGATAGATAGATAGATAGATAGATAGATAGATAGATAGGAGTGGGGTGAGAGAGATAATTGTTATATATCTAACTAGCAGCATGGCTCGGCGTTGCCGGTGCTTGATTCAAAATCGTACGACTCATACAGCAATCGCTATCACTTGACTTGAAATATTTTTGCCCTTCCTTGCCTTTAAAGGAGTGCCCTTTTCCGTTATGATGTTGCTACATGCCTTACTTCTTGGCTATCTCACAATGCGAATTTTTTCTAAGCTCTATACTAAACATTAAATCAGTTACGAAAATAATTAGTTACATTTGTGTTTGCTCAACACCCACAGAGCTGATCGTTTTGTAATTCTTTTTTTCGTAACAGATTTAATGTTTAGTATAGAGCTTAGAAAAAATTCGCATTGTGAGATAGCCAAGAAGTAAGGCATGTAGCTACATCAGCATATATATATATATATATATATATATATATATATATATACAGAGAGAGAGAGAGAGAACGATATATAGAGATAGATAGGTAGATTGATTTGTTTTTAAACGTTATTTTCAATGGATACTCATATTTCAGCAGATGTTCTGTTTTTTTGTTTCTTTTTTATTTATTTATCTATCGAACAGTTCATTTATTTTTTCCATCTGCCGGTCTGAACATTCGAGAAATTTTGTTAGAAAGCTATGCGCCCTTCAGCATATTTTTCTAACAAGATTTTTGGGGAAAAACACGGCATCTACTCAAATATGAGTATAAATAAAAAATAAAACAGACATTTTTTTTATTTTTCATTTAAAAAAAAATTTAAACATTTATATTTATAAAATTTATCAACCATTGACTAAAATCCTGTAAATTTAATTTTGCAAGGTGAAAATGATTATTTACATAATGGTATCTTAATTCCGATTCTACAAATATATTTGCTCTGGTTATTATAAAAACATTTAGCCCTATATGGGTATCAATTTTAATATTTAATATTTTATATTGTGTTAATAGGATTCACTTGAATTATATACGAACGAGTTACTACCCATATATATATATATATATATATATATATATATATATATATATATATATATATATATTTAGGCAGCAATCCTTTGTTTATGCATGTTTCATTAAAAACGACAGACAAGGTACTACGGTTAAGCTTTTATTTAATTTTTCTTGTGTTCGAACAAGAGCTTTTGTTTCTGGAGTGTGTAAAAAGTTTCCAAATATTTTATAGTTCCGAACGCTATACCATTAGCCATTATCAAGGATGATTCAGTTTTTCAGCTTAACTGAATGTGTGCATTAAGTGTATGTTTTAGTGTGTTGTACAGATGTTTTTAATTTCCGAATACGGTTAGCACATTGTGGGCTTGTTCATAGTTAATATTGTTAATAGTTGGCTTTTTCTTTTTTATTATATAAATTTTCATATATATTTATATATATATATATATATATATATATATATATATATATATATATATATAAAATAACTATCTAGATCGGCACCTTATTCTCTGATTGCTAAGTTCTATAGTAAAACATCAGTAAAATATTACAGTATGCAATCGTCCCCATTAATTTTAACACCCACACACCAATATGTACAAACATACATACATACATATACACACACACACTCACTCACTCTCTCTCTCACACACACACATAGATATATATATATATGTGTGTGTGTGTATATATATATATATATATATATATATATATATATATATATATATATATATATATATACATATACAGACTAAACACATAAAAATGTTAAGTAACTACCGTTACTCCATTTGTCGCTTATACACTGTGTAAACCGACTTAGGCATAGGCCGGTCTAAGTTGTCTTTTCAATGACGGGTAATGCTCCCACCCGTTCCCCAACGAGAACTTCACACAAGAGACTAAATATAAGAGGAGACAGCTAGTGCCCAGCCCCAGATGAATAGCTGAAAATCGTTGCTCCCCCAAGAGAAACAAAACTTTTCGAGCAGCCATTAACGATAGTATATAGCATTCAATTTTCAAAAGGTAAGATATTTTGAGTTCTTCTATCTTTTTAGAATATAATCGCATATATATATATATATATATATATATATATATCAGCTGACGTACCCAAAACCTTAGGAATTTTCCAACACATTGTTGTTTAAAGAATTAAGTATTACAATTTCTTTGGGGATTATTGGTAAAAAGAAACGCTTTGAAATAAATCCTTATAACATTTTGAAACTGTATTGGAATTCGCTACACTATTTGATTCTCTCAGAAAGCATCAAAAACTATCTTTTTTCAGAGCCGATTTTAATTATGGTAGATTAAGCAATTTTTTATTCATATATTTAGTTTTTGTGAAATTTACTAAATTTAGTGTCGCACATACGCTAAAAGTTAACCCGAAATATAATACACTAAACATTTCAATAAACTTTGTTTAATTTTTTAAAAAAATTTTTTTCAGTATTAAATACAATTTGATTTGATTAATATCACATTTCTTTTCATGGAGATTTCAGCGTTCGGAGGAATGTGTTTGTAATTTCTGGATATATTTATTTCTATGCATTAAAACTGAATTAAAGCAAAAGAGAAAAATAGTATGCTTGTATTAATTGACATTTCATTGCGAAATAAGAAGTCAGAATTTGTCAATATACCGATGTTATGGTGATATTCTAAGCGTTGCTTAGGTGTGAATGTAAAGGACATTCAAAAATATACTGATATTCATGTCAGTAGAAAACGTGAGACCGAGAATGCGTAATGAGACTGCTCTGGGGGTTAGCAGCAGCCATGTGATTTCTAGAAATCTTCACATTTTTTAGTGCAATGAGGAACCCTAGTTAACAAAAAATAAATAAATATAATGATAATAATTGAAATAAACCTCTATGGCACCTCACATTAAACCAACCTCGTTTCAGATACCATCAGGCATCTTATATATAGCGTCCGGTTCATAAAGCTCCTCGGTTCTCTATAAGCTTCTATTTCTTCTTTCCTCTTTAGGATTGGATTTACAATTCCTTCTAAAGTCTACTTCAATTCTATACGTCTAATGTCTCTAATTAAACTCTGAAATTTTATTTAGTATTTATTTATTTATTTTACCTCATTAGGAGTAGATAGGTTCGTTTGAAAACTTGATTACAGTCAAGAAAACTACAGACAAACATATTAACAAGATCCTGGCTAGTTCGTTTTTTACAAGGAATTAAAAGAAATGGCACTGTGTGAAGATAATAATAATAATAATAATAATAATAAGAAGAAGAAGAAGAAGAAGAAGAAGAAGAACCTGGAGATGGAGATTAACAGGATATGGGGGAATGAAGATTAAGACTGTACCAATAGTAATCAGAGCTCGGAGGAAAAGTAATGGACAATTTTATTAACAGTGTCCCAGGTAACATCAACATACAGGTTGCCCAGAAAATCGCCCTATAAGGAACATCCCATATACTTACAAAAGTGCTATCAATTAAATGACAATTCTCCTATAAAGCCTAAGGACCATAGTTTGGACCTGGATCTACAGGATACAAAGCAGGAAACATAACATACACAAATAATAATAATAAGTATGATGATGATGATGATGAAGAAGAAGAAGTGGCAAAGGTTTATAGATATTTCTATTTTCAAACTGGAAGAATTTTTAAGTGTTCGAAAGAAGTCATTTTTAAACAATATAATATTTGGAGCAGATACCTTACGTATATACTCATTTGTAGAATACGACTCCTGAAATTTTGGTATGAATTCTAACCCCTCTATAGTGTAACTGGTCACCGAAAATTCATGATTTTCAACCTCTTCAGGAAAATTACCTGTGTATAGTGCGACCTCCAATGTTCGCGTAAAAATGATCCTAAAAAGACACACTACTCGAGTATTATACGGCACAACAAATTTTGAAGTTATTTCAGTCATCGAATTTGTCAGATCTGCTATCTTCATTTGTAGAATATTCGATGTGGCTGCATTCAAAATACGAAGCAAACCCAACCTCTGACCCTAAATATTTCGAAATGGAAATCAAATCTATATTATAAGACACGAACTGATTTTCTGTCCATCACACACTGTTTGCGAATATATAATGTATAGGAGTATATTTATATAGGAATATAAAGTATACACTAGCACACATACACACACAATTTGATTAAGTTTGAAATAAGACGTCCGAATAATATATTTTGCTCCAACACAGACTGGACAACCCCTACTCTGAGCTGAGCAATAAAACCATAAAAAGTTGGAGACAAAAAAAAATAATTTTTTATCCCTAAAAAATCAGTTAAGATTTTATTGACCTTTTTTAATTTTTTTTTTAAATTTTGTAGTAAAATTTCAAGCCTATCACTGAACTAAATCATACATGCATACACGCAAATGGAATGTGTCGTGAAGAGTAATTTCACATTGTGTCTGACAACAAACTCTGGTCAACAGGAAAAGAGTATAAGTCGAAATGTGTGGCCCGTTAAATTGGGCTTTGTTCTTTGTTAGGGGCCACGGCTTGGGTCTTAAAAGTGGCTTATGCTAAGCCTGGGGGCATCATCACAGTTCTGTTTTTAGAAAATGTTGTAAATTTTATATTTTAAGTCTTGTCATACATATTTTATACAGTATTTTCAATGGCTGTATCGATCTAATCGTATTTAAACACGGTTATTGTACGTATGAAAGAAGATTTTACGCCAAGTGTTTGGTTACCAATACCATTTTTCAAAAAATTCGCGGATTCTAACTATTCGCGGACGGTTCTGGTCCCTAACACCCGCGAATACGGGGGAATCATTGTAGTTTGCTTTTTATAATTACGCTTAACTGCGATAACAACCGATCGGCAACAATCATTTGCTTTTTTATTTATTTTTTTAGATATACCTTTTTTTTTTCAAATTAATCAATTTAACGAGTCTCACTCTTAAAAATATAATTTATTAAAAAAAAATAATAATTTATTTTTTCTCTTCAGATAACTCCCAATTAAAATTCAAGGAAGATTTTTTTGTTAAAAACAAAAATAAAACAGTTTTTTTTTTTCTTTATT